CTAATATAAAAGTCAATCTCATGGCCTCAGTCCCCTCTTCAATCAGTCCCTACATACTATTGGAGCATATTGCAAATAAGAATTTGTTCTTAATAACTCAACTGGTTAAAAAAAGGTCCAGAGGAGGCTGAACATAAATACATGGCAATGTTTTTTTTTATTCTTATTTGTGAAAATATTTGAAAGCAATGCGTTTCTTCCATCCCACCTCACAATTATACATCTCTTTGTGTTGGTCTATTGAAGAAAATCCATGTAAAAATATAAGGTATCATTAGAAAGTAAGAGAAAGTGAAAAAGTTCAAGAGGTATTAATAATATTCTTCCTTCCTTTTAATGTTCTTCCACTGAGTCTACTGTAATTTATATATTGATGCAAACTAGTCATCCTTATTATGTAAGCTTTTTAAAAAATAACAAAAAATAAAATGTGAGCACAGGTGTTTTGTCCAAATCTATTCCCGATGTCCCCTAGTGACCACTAGGAGGAACTGTTAAAACTTGCTGTCAAGGAGATTGGAAATTATTGGAAAATAATAGGGATAATTCAGCAAGTTTAGCTAAACATTTGCACCGCTACTTAGAGACAAATAGGTTGTTTTCGCATGGATGCTATAAAATAGAAAACACTGCTTAAGATGAATTAGGTCATAATAAGCAAATTGATTAAATTAGACATTTTAATATGAAAAAATGATTTTTGTAATCAAACGATAATTTTTACATACAAACTAATTGACACCTAGAGACGCTAGCTGACATCATTAGACTTACAGCAAATCTTTGAATGACTGAATATTTTAAATGTTACTAAAAATATCTACTTAAGCTTAATTCTCAGATAATCATTCCTATTGTTTTATTTTTATTTTTATTTTTTGACAGGCGCTCTGAGTTGAGAACTGGTGCTATGAAATGAAACTAGATTAATCTGCATGAATGAAGAAGCTCGCGTTGCTGGAAACTCCCTTTTGTTTCCATGGCGATAATGGCTTCCCAGCTTCCACTGCGGGTGGACCCGCGTTGATGTTTCTGGTGAGTGACTGAAGGTGGGTTCACTATGAGATATTTTAGAGAGGCAGCATTTCATTTTACAGGAGGTAATCGATAGAGAATATTTCTTCCTCAGTGATATAGTAAAATGTGAGAATGTGCGTCCCACCGTCGTATGTGTATTGTAAACTAATCCATCATATCATAAGCTCACAGACTACACAGAAAAAAACAAAAAATATCATGGTTCAATATCTGTATCATTAATTAATAAAACTTTCAAGAAGGTTTTTTATCAATTTAGTCTCAAATACTTGCACCATGTTGTAGATGGCAGAACAAAGAAATAAGCAATATGCTGAGCTCAGCATCGTGCAAAAGCATTATCTCATGATCCCTTCTTCTCCAATTATGCATGATAATTTACCACTCACCTTTGCTGGCATTATCCTCCTTAACTTTCAATTTTCCGCTCATGGAGCTCCACTTTTCCTGCTCGTAGAATAAAACTTCGGGGGGAAGGTGCAGCAACGCGGTTTTACTTCTTTATGTTCGCTTTGTATCCCTCGGCTGATAATACCCAACTCCTCCCGTCCTCCTCCGTCCCTGCTGTCCCCTCTCTGGTTCCGTCCCCTCACAGACTCCTCTCTGGATGTCACCATGTGGCTGCAGACACACCAACATGAGCTCTAAATCTCCACGCACACACGCAGAGAGGGACAAAGAAAGATGCACAAACGGGAAACTGTACAAGGATGCAGAGGCAATTAATGGTTTTGTTGGTGTTTCCAATATGACGGCTCATTCAGTGAGGGGAACATAGGCAGGTTATTGTGCCACAATTACTGTTATTGTCTTTTCTGTCAGTTTATTGTTCACACAACTTATTATTTCTCTGTATTATAATTAATATAATTGTACACCATGCTAAAACTCAACCAATCCAATTTCCATTAGCAAAAATTATCTCCCTATGTGCACTGTAAAAAATAAATAAAAAAAATTGCACTGTACTGAATGTTAGCCATTGACATTATAAAAAAAAAAACATTTGTAATGTTCTAATTAAGTCAAACATTTGTTATTGGTAACTGAATCCAGCCAGATAATTTTAATTAAAACTTGACTGAATATATTGAACCAGTTCTTAAGGTGACCGTTATGATGTAGAGCAAATCTTAGCTGTGTTAGAGAAAAGAGTTACCAAATACATATTAAAAAGTGTATTACTATTTCAGTGATGTTTTGACTTAATTGCTGATTCTTTTTTTGTTTCTTTTTAATGTGTTGAGTCATTTGTAAGTATAATTTGACTTTCTTAGATAAATATATTTTATAGATTTATTTGAATCTCACTATATCTCTGACCTTTTAAATATTCAGAATTTAAATTAAGATAACTTTATTAAAACTATTAAATAAAGAAAACCTGAAAATTGTTCAACAACTGTTTTACCCATGTAAACTCAGACCAGTAAATGTGATATTAGTACAAAAAGTGCATCAACTGAATGCTAAAGAACCTAGTTTTTCCTCCTTCAGTCTCTTTCTTGAGGTCATTAGTGGCAGCAACATGTTTGCAAAAATTACCCATAGCTTTGGACTGAGAGAGGAAAACCCCTGTACCTATGAGGTTGTCCAATTAATGAAGATCTACTTGCAAATTCAGCAAACAGAATGTAAAGTAATTAGTTCATCGATCATTGAAATCAATTTGTGCTGGAAATTTCTCAACTCCTTCACAAGGCAAAAACCAAAAGCATACAATTATCTGTTGAACCTGGATTTTCAGTGTTGAACATCAGCCCTGCTTGTTAGTCCCAGTATGCACACATTAAAAATTATAAGTAGAATAATTTTAAAAGTGTTACTGTTGAAAAAATAACACTTTTCAGAACTGATTTTTTGTCAGATTAATGCAATTATATTTTAAACATGCACATAAATTATTTCAGATTTGGGACAAAATGAATAATAAATTATCAGGTGCATTTTTCAGCCTGCAGCTCAGTTAACTCAAACCAGTGAAAACATAATGGTTATTGTGCATTTATGCAAATTTGTGATCTAAACCAAAGAATTTCGCTCGGAAAAAAAAAGAAAATAAAAAAAGACTGTTGGGGTCTCACTCACATCAACATTTTTTAACAGTAATCAAAATGTAAGTATAATATATAATATAACACAGATTGCAACAATTAACGGTTTAATACAGTTTTACTAAAATACTGTATGAAAAAAGAAAGCCAGAGAATGAAAAACCTATCATGTTGTGAAGTAGGTACTTATTAGCATTGACTTCAATTGTAGAATAAATTTTGTGGAATTGATTAAATTTGGTGCAAATATGCATTCCAATATGTAATAAGTGGAGAAAAACATTTATCAAAACTATTGCTATTATTTAAAAGAATGGTGGCATGACATTTAAAGAACTAGACACACATAAATATTCATCTCAGTTAAATAATTAGGCTGTTATTTTCCTTCTTTGTTGGTGAGGTCCACATGCTATTGAAATGAATCCCTGTCAGCGGTGAAAACAAGACTGATGCATCACGTCATCTCTGAATTTGACTCATGGTAACCAACTGTGTGCCAGCAGAGCAGCTTGTCCCCTGAAAGAGTCTCCTTCTGTGGATTTAAAATCCTGGACCATCTTCATGATTACAGCAAAAAGTGTCACATCAATCAGCTCCCTATTCCATCTATCAGAAGATACTTTGGTAAAGTTCTGTTGGATTGTGTTTTGATTTATGCTGCACTACTAAGATATTTAGGACAGAATTTGGTGCAAAGAACATTTAAAAATAGATTTAGTGGTGCTATAGTGGTGTAGATGTTAGTTGTAGCGATTTGAGTAAAATTGAATGAAACCAGTGAGCAAAAAAAAAAAAAAAGTTTGATTTAGTTTTCTTCAACAAATATTTCATCTGACTCCATTTATCTCAAGTTTTATTTTATTTGTATTGTCTTTGTTGGCTCATTTAATATAAAATGTAACTACATTCTTATGGGCTTCACTGAATCCAACAAGTAGAGAGACAGCAGTGATGCAGTGCTCATAAAACTGTGTAGAGTGGAAGAGATTAGGATCACTGCAGTGATTTTTCAGCTTTTAACCCACTTCTCTCAGCCTCTGTTGGTGTGTTTACATCTGACATGGCGTCAGCAGTCCATTCCCCCACAGCTGACATATTGTGGACATCATTGAGTAATCTGACCTCAGGGGGCTGTTGAATCATTAAATAATAATTTAAAGGGGTCCACTTGATCGTCCCAAAAAGTTTCCAGCTTGCAGGATTAATGAATCCATAAACTGGCATGAGTTGTAATAAACAGATAAAATCCTTCCTCATCCCACATGACGGAATAAATCACAACAAGGCTGCTGTGGCTGAGGAGCTGCCAGCTCCTGACATTCAGTGATTTGTCTTCGGCCGCACCCCGTGTAACTCAAACTGTAATCAGATGGCTGTCAGTCGCCATCTCTGCCCTTCAATCTCCCAGAGTGACCAGCAGCTGCAGCGGAGGAGTTTGAAACCAGCGCTTTCTTTCCTGCTGTATTTAAACGGCTCTAAGCTGATTTGCCTGCTCAGATTTACAGCAACATTTGGCTGCTCAGATTGTGATGCAAAGATGCATTAGTAGAGCTTATGACTGTGTATGTACTGTGAGTGCTTTGTAATTCTAGTTTTTATAGAGTTTAATTTAACAGTGGATTTAGTGAGTATTTATGGAACCAGTAAAATATTGCTTTAGCAACAATTATTTAGATTGTGCGTGTGTTAGTAGTTTGTGCACAGTATCTCTGATAGTAAGATGAGCAGAGCAAAAATAGTTTCCTTTATTTCTTTTTATACAGTTCTCTATTTATTTTACAACATGATCTAAATCAGAAGTTGTCCAAATGTGTGTCAGTATTTTTTATTTGTAATGTTTTTATACTTTTCATTGTATATAATATAAACCTTCTTTTGCTTTTTTTGTTGGCACAGTTGTTTTCCAGGGAGCAACACAATATTTATTATTTAAACACAAAATGATACAAACATGATTGTAATTCTGCTGATTTCTACTGATTAGTTAATTACCTGGTAATCATCCTGAGTCTTCTATCTATTGGCTTAACTTAGGTTTTTTTTCCAACCCTGGTCCTCACTGCCCTGCATGCTTTACATCACGTATCAAACTCAAGTGTAAACATTATTGTGTGTAAACACACTGGTTGAATATCCTATCCTTTACTAAGTTGCTATTCAACATACCGTTGGACACATTTGATTTAGAAAGAGTTTTTTTATTAGTGCTCAGTCTATTTCTGCTTACCGTAGGTCCCAGGCAACATGTCATCACTCCAAATATGAAAATATGCATTTTGTTTAAGTTGTCCTCCAAAGGCTCAGACGTAATATGATCAAATTTCCCTTTTAGCCTTTGGATTAACAACACGACTAATAGTTGAGCACAAACATGCACACAAAACATTTTCAGCTGTCATGAACTGTCAATATTAGACAATGTTTGACTTGAAGCCAACATGATGTGATAAAAAAAATCACCATCTTCACATTAAGTGCTTCTATAAATCTCTCTTTCTTATGAAATTGGTATCTTTAATTCCAGAATAATTAGGAGTATTATTTTACCTCACACTTTCTTTCTAATGTCTAAATCAAAGCAAATGTGAAAGAACAAACACCCACAGATTGTGACCACACAGGTGAGTAAACAGAGTGTCCTCTGTACTTTGGAGTGGTGAGTTAGTCTAAGTGCTCTGCTTGAGTTGGTGTGTCATAATCAGCCAGATCACCAACAGCAGTAAAATGGCCAGAGTTTGTCTGCTGGTTTTCATTGTTGGGCTTCAACTGGGGATTCCTGGAGCGAGTGCCGAGATCACAGAAGACAACACAGGTAAACGGCAGCTTTTTGGACTTGATTGTACTGGAAAAAAACAAAGATTTAGGAGCGTAGGAGCTGAAAAATCTGCTCTCATTAAGCAGAGCTTCTTTTTCGCATTGATGTCACCTCTGAAAGCATATCAAAGTAAACGCAGAATAGAAAAGCTGGAATTAAGTTTAAAAAATAAAAATGTTGGTTCTTTTGATAGTTACTGCAAACTTTGATCAAAATACTTTGTTATTCCAATTGTGAGATGTAATTTTATTGAATATTTTGTTGAGATCAGTTAAAATTTTATCACCAAATACATTATTCACATTTGGCTTAGAGCTGTCTTTTATCATCAGTTCAATACCTCTGTTACTTTAATCAGAATATGTACATATATAGCAGACAATTTTACTATTACTTGAAACAGTTCAGTTGAAATAATCTGAGTGTGAGATCAGGTTTGATCAGGTTTCTGTTTTCTTTTCAGAAACCGTGTTTATCTCTCAGCAGACAGCACATGCGGTGCTGAAACGACAACGGAGATACAACAGCGGGCGTCTCGAGGAAGTGCTGCAGAAAGCCAACCTGGAGCGAGAATGCAGAGAGGAGCAATGCACCATGGAGGAGGCCAGGGAGTGGTTCGAGAATGATGAAAAAACTGTAGGTAGAACCACAATGACCAAAACTTCTGAATATTAAAAGAAAAAAACTGAAAACTTCTCTTTAACTTATGTGTTTCACTTCTAGATGGAATTCTGGGTCATCTACACTGGTAAGTCAAATATTTGTCAGCTTCCCACACTGACAAGTTAAATCATCTCTGACCCTCTAGTGGGTTTGTTTGTGATGCCTGTGCATAGATGATGACCAGTGTGAGCCAAAGCCCTGCCAGAATGGAGGAGTTTGTCGTGATGAAGTGGGCTCCTATAGCTGCTATTGCCAAGAAGACTTTCGTGGTAAAAACTGTGAGATTTGTAAGTGGCAACAGCAAGCAATGATGTTTTCTTTTAAGACCTGGAGTTCTGATGTGTGAGTTTACAGTTTAATACTTGATTTTATTTTTTGCAGATATGCCCAGACGATGTTCGGTCAACAATGGTGGGTGTGCACATTTCTGCACAACGGAAAGACGCCGACCTGTGTGTTACTGTGCAGCTGGTTACAAAGTTGGGGCAGACGGAAAAAGCTGTGAACCAACAGGTAAGTTAAAAACAGACCACCTACAAGAATACACCACATTGTAAAAAAAAAAACAAACAAAAAAAACACGCTTTTCATAAAAAAACAACAGGACTTTAATTTTAAGTTTAATTTAATTAATGTCTCCATCCATGTTAGACAGTACAATAAAGACTTCAGAGTTGAAAATATGTTAAGAATAATTAGCAAAGAATGTATAACACAGACCATATTGCCAAAAATACCAAGTATCTAAATGTTGATTTTTCTAAAAGCAGAAAAATTAATAGATAAATGCAACTAATTCGAAGCTTTTCAAATTAGTTCAAATTAGTGCGGTTTTCATAAAACTGGAATGAAACTTCCCATAAATCCAATGTGTATCTGCAACGTTAGGTCTTTTTTTTTTTTTTTTTGGTCACACTGAAAATGTTTTAGCTTCTCATTCAGAAATGTTGATAGCTGGTTGTTACACAGTAAAAAGACAGAAAGCTGGACCCATCATGTTTGACATCCTCCATCCTTTAAGGCATAACAAGCTGACGTTTCAGTTCGCAGCTGTCAAATAAAAGACATTGTTACTGACTGAGGCTGACAGCATGAAGATGCTCAAAGCCAAGTAGTGAGCAGACAATAATTATCGGATAATTATCCACTACTGACATGAAAAAAAGGACAGCAGATCTCACAACCCCAATTCCAAGAAAAAATACTAAAACCATTTTACCAATAATCCATAAGGTAAGCATACACTGAGCAAACTTGAAGTCTACCAACTCATAATTTTACAACAATGTATATACAGCATGACAATATTACCAATAAAAACATTAGAAAACTGAATTAAACAGAAGCTGTTATGTTTACATATGATCTTTAAGAGATAAAACTAACTAGTCTCCCCTCTTTTGCCTTATTTTCCCCTCAGGGCCGTTCAGTTGTGGCATCGTTAGCCTGTCCTCTGGCCTCGCCACCAGATCTTTCAGGTGGACACAATCATCCAACTCAACTAACTCCACCAGTGAGGAATTCGACTATGATTACTTCAAAGAAATCGAGGATTACCTCAACTCTCCAATGAACGAATCAGAACTGTTCAACTCCTCAGCAGGTTCTGTATTAAAAGTCAGATCAGTTGGATTGGATTCGAGTTCCTCCTTGAACCAAGCCGAGACTATCGACTCTAGAGCAGAGCTAGGTGACAGCAAAAGTCCCAGACAAAACCGTTTCTGGGATTACGTTGAAGTCCCCACCGTCGTAGCACAAAAGAATGAGGACGAGAGGATTGTTGGAGGAAATGAAGCCACACCTGGCGAGATACCTTGGCAGGTAGTGTTACTGAATGCATAAAGAGAATGATTATTTTTGACTGATAACTTATTTTGTTTTGTATGGAATCAAAGCTATTGCGTTTCTCTTCACATTGGATTAAAACCAACCCACAGTCACAACATATTAAAATGTTGGAAAACTGTGATTGCTTGTTTTCCAACTATTATATCACACAAGCACTACCTCACAATGTTTCCTTGCAATATATCATTGTGCATGAGACGTTTCTTTATCTCCACCATTAATTTCAGCCTAATCTTTCCAGATTCTCACAATAATATTTCATATATTAGAATATTTTTGAAATGTTAATTTATTTCATTAATTCAAGTTACAAATGAAACGCATGCAGATCAATTACACTGAAGTTTCAAAGCCTTTATTTCTGTTTTTGCTGACAGCTGACATTTAAGATTAAACTATTACATCAGACAATAAATGTAATGCAAAAAGGTGGGCTCAAGAAAAGCTGTGTAAAGATTTTTGTTTTTAAAAGGCTTTTATTCTGAAAAATGAGCCTCATTGGAATGCATATTCTAATTTATTGAAGATAAATACACTTCATTTTTTATGCATGCCAGACTCTGTTGGCCCTAAGCAGGCTTTTATTAAGGTGACAGTAAAAGCTGAAAAATACTCAGAAATATGTTTTGGCCTACATCAGTTCTTGATTGTACTGGACATCACTATTTAAACTGGTGTTAGAGAGACGGACATTAGCTGCATCTTCCACTGAAACATTGGATTGTCATAAACAGATTAAATAGATTTATTCTGTTTTTTTTTACTTTTATTTTTTTAATTACACTTAATCTTTAGTTTACATATTGTTAGTTTATCAAACTAATTGAAACTTTTTTTGGGGGGAAAAAATAAATTTTACGTCAATTATTTATGGAAAACCATCAGGGTCCTGCAGCAGCAAAGCAGCCCCAGACCATCACACTACACCACAACAATGGTTGACTGTAGGTATGACACTCTTTTTCTGAAATGCTGTGTTTATTTTATACCAGATGTAATTGGGTCTGCACCTTTCCCAAAGTCTTGAGATTATAAACGTGTTTTTTTGCAAATATAAGATACTTTATTGTTTTAGACCTGGAACTCTCCTACTGAATTGTAAACACTGACCATGTGGCAATGGAGGGCTGGCAATATTTAGATGCTTAAACATTTTAAAAGTCCACAGCAGAACTGAGACTGGAGAGTAGAAACCTGTCTTGGGACAAAAACAACTGAAAAGGCATTGGAAATAGTCACTGCTGTGTGAAGAACAAACACGAGACTGTGGTGAGGTTTACATTTGATGAACTGATGACTAAAGTATAAATGTTGCTTTGTGTGTTTGCAGGTGGGCCTGATGGCTTTTTTACCCAAGCTAAACAAAACGCTGCCCATCTGTGGAGGCTCCCTGCTCAGTGAATTTTGGGTAATCACTGCAGCCCACTGCCTGGTGTTGGCCAAACAAAAAGAATACACTATCTTCGTAAGAGTTGGTAAGACAAAGCAAAAGACTCTCCAACTGTATATTTTAAAACTGATGAAACTGGGATTAATACAGCACACACACCTTCAAATTAAAGGGATTCTTTATTCTCAAACAGAACAATGTTCTCTGAGTTGCAAAAATGAAGAAATAGTCCTTTTTTACGTGAATGGTCCACATAACACTAGGTTAACGCTCCTAACCAGCAACAGCTTCGAGAAAATGGTGCGTAACAGCATTATGAGCATTCAACAGAGAAACAAAATAGTTTACGACATGAGGTAGCGGCACCTCTAAGGACAAACGGGAAAACATGACGTCAGTAACATCACTTCAGCTTCCTACATGGAAAATAATACAGTTCAGACATTAATTACTAATTTTCTGCATTTTTTACTCACGTGGCCATAAAGTCGTCTTCTCCAATAAGTCTCGGCTCCAAAATAATGTCCGTTTTATCAGAGTGCCAAGTATGTAAACAAGAGATTTTTTTCAACTTCCGGTATTTTTAGACCTCTTTAGCACAACAGCACCCCATGCTGAGAAAAACAAGAATTACAACCAGTAGATGAAATAAATATATTTCACAGCTACCCATTTTTCACGTGGTTACACTGAATTTTCTGTATATGCTTGGAAACTAATCACAACTAGTTTTTAATATTTTATTGTTTCATACAATGTCAAGCTCTCATGTCATCAACATTTCCAGGTGAACATGATGTGAATGTGGTCGAGGCTTCAGAGCGCAACCATGAAGTGGCGGAGGAGCACATCCACCACCGCTACGACTTTAGTCAATCGCAGTTTAATCATGATATCGCCCTGCTGAAGCTCGCCACTCCTGTGGAGCTGTCCAATGAGAGACGTCCCATATGTGTGGGCTCAACAGTTTTCATGCAGGACCTCATGAAAGAATCCGGCATCTCCCTGGTGAGTGGCTGGGGACGCACACTGGACAAGGGCCGTGAAGCTGACAAGCTTCAGAAGTTATCGGCTCCTGTTGCGGACCTTGCCCTGTGCAAGCAGAGCAGCCGGAACCGCATCACCCGCTTCATGTTCTGTGCCGGGCTGGCAGACGGATTGGGCGATTCGTGCCATGGAGACAGCGGCGGCCCGCATGCCACCAACTACAAAGGAACTTGGTTTCTCACCGGCATCGTCAGCTGGGGGGAGGGTTGTGCCGAGAAGGGGAAATACGGCATCTACACCCATGTTTCACGATACTACGCCTGGATTGTTCAGAAAACTGGGATCTTACAGTCCAACTAAAATATGTAGTTCAGCAAAATCAGGATTTGTTTAACTGTTGATATCTCACCTAAAGGGAATACTCTTTGTTCCTTTATTTGAACAAAAGAAGGACCAACAATAGAGAGAAATTCCACTCTAACATCAAACATGTTTTTGTTTTACATAAAAAAAACTTTATAATAATATATGTGTTACTTGTGAAAAACAGAGCATTGCAGAATCATACTTTGCAACAAGCTGGTGGAAGAATGAAACATCCCTCTTGATATGTTTCTGAACATTTCCACTTCTAGATTGCGAACAAAAACTCTTCTATGAATCTACAATAAATGCGCATGCAAAATTTAGCCATGTTTTGAGGATATTTTTTGCATCTCTACTGTGATTTTTCTTGTAAAACGTATATTTATAACTGGTTATATTTGTTTTTCTTTATTTCACGACTTCCCTTTTATCCACAAGCAGCTCATCAGATGTTCTCAAAATTTCTTCGACAAGGAAGCAGTGTTTCTGTGTCTGCATTGGCCTGAGGCTCACCTTGAAGAAAATGATCCCATCAAGCTTTTCATTCAATTTTTCTGGAACCGCTTTATGGCTTTTTGGAGACTGTGCTGGGCCAAGGTGGGGGTCCCACTCCCTTGACCTTCTTCGGTCTGCCTGATTTAAATATTGAAATATTTAACTTCTAAAATAGATTTCAATTAATTATTTTTGTTCATTTATTTGCTATTTTAATGTTATAAATGTGAACCTTTGAGTGTAAACAGCCTTAAAATGAATTCATCTATCTTGCATAAAATTCCATATTAATCAGGCATGTTTTAATGAGTAGTATCCTTCAAAATGCCTTTAAAATAAATGTTACGGTCATCTTGACATTAAGGTAGCTCTACATTGATCAATGTTCTGTTTGACAATCTTCCCAGCTAAATAATTATTTCATATGCGAGCAAAACAGGGGTTTTATAAGTAAGTGTTGTATTCTGTACATCAGTGATGAAGAAAATAGGAAGCAGTTTTTTTAATCGAATCAAAGCAGAAGGAACCTAAAAATCAGCGAGGTGCAGATGAAGACATGAAAAGTGTAAACGATAAGAATATGTTTTTAAAAATAAGACTAGAAATTAACTTAACTATAACGCAAAACATCCCAATCCAAAAATCATGTGATGGAGTCAAAGAATAAAACTAAGCGTTGATTTAAATCTATTTTTTAAGACTGTAGCTGTGGTTGATTCATTGGGCACATTGTGGCCCCAGACGTAGCAGCTCTGACAATAAACCACTGCATCTCAATAAAGGAATTAAAAGTTCAACAAAAGAACGCTGAGATTATGTTTTATTAGGCAATAAGAAATTAAAACATCTTTGTGTGATTTTATGAAGTTGAGTTTTTCTACAAAGACCCATAACATCAGAAGAGGAGTTGAAATAAACCCCTTAGGCTTAGACACATCAACCAGGTGGAATCAAATGAAATAACCATGTGCTTACATTTTGCAAAACAATTACAGGCATTGTGCATTATAATACAAGCTTGTTCAATGTTTCACAGGATAGAAAAAAAGTGCAAAGTGAGCAAATGCAGCAAACAAGTTCAAGTTCATGAAGCCTGACAGAACAAAATCATTTCTAACTTCTGAGTTGGTTTGAAAAATCTCACAAAGAAGTAGCTACAGTACAACTGTAGGTGTTAAATACAGAGAGATTAAATCTAGTTTTACTGGTGAAGTTAATCTTAAATTTGGTACTACTGGGAGGGTTACTTTTTTTTTAGTATATATTTTTTTAGTATATCATTAATATTGTGTATTTTTAGCCTATCTGTTTAAGCCAGTTGATAGTTTTTGACTGCCTAAGTTATCTATTTAGATACATTTTAGATGCTAAACTAGTAATAATCTTTGTATTTACATATTCACATTTGAATTTAGCCGTCTCAAAAAGTGTCATGTTTCTATAAGTGGCAGTGTTTTAGTGCCCACCTTTTACACTTTTACTGTGAAAAACCATGAGTTAGACGAGATCCGTGACAATATGGAAAAGTCGGTCCTGGCAGTTTTTACAGAGGCAGTAAACCGTCTGTCTGTTTCTTCATCATGTCAACTCCCATTCATCTTTGGTTACATACTTTTTTTTTTACAATTATAACCGACACTAAACACAGTTCTGTGTGTGTAAAACAGCAGAGGAGGCAAACATAAAGCTAAAGGTAAGTGCAAATCTATAGAGGTATTTGTCCACACAGAGCCACAAGGAAAACAATAAAACACTGAGCTTGACAGAAGAATGTTAGGAGGACAAGAAACATTTCATGAATAGGTTACATATGTTGTAGCAGCAAAGCCCGACGAGGAACAAATACATTTGTGATTACTCAGAATACATTAATAAGCAGCAATCAAATAATAAAGTTTGAAAAGGAACAACACATGAATTAAAAGGCCTGAAGAATAAAGCAGAAACAGAGAACGAATGGAGGACAAATACAAAAAGATGGGAGTTACATTAATTTTGAACATTAGTCTATTTTCTTGTATTCTTTTCCAGTTCTTCTAGATTACTGACCAGTATTGTAGCATTAGGTTTACTTTCCTCCCTTCTTTGTTCACATGGAATAATATGAGAAATTATACCATAAGTGAATAACGTTTCTCTCTGACTGAATGGTTCCTGATTGGCAGAATGCATAATATCACAGATTACTAAACAAAACTGAATAAAGTTAAACTTGCCCATCATCATCCCTTAGAAGTTTTACTGTAAATAAATCAATCTTTTCCTCAGAATGCATCTATGTATATGACCATGAATTACAATAAAACATCTGCAAATTGTCTTCATGGTTAGCATGCGCGAATGCATGCAAAACGTCATCCTTTTATTTGATATTTTTAAGATGAAGGAAGAACCACTGACATAGATGCAGATTGTACAAAGATCAAGATTTTGCTAATGTGCACCTGTATGAGAGCCTACTCCGATAAATGATCTTGTGGCTTTACTCTCTGCCAAAGTTTTGTCAGTTTATCTTATTATTTGTTAACCCGCAGAAACAAAACTCATTGCCTGTCATTATAAAACATTGAGCTGTGAAGATGTAATTTTTTACATGCAACAAAATGTCAACAAGAAGTGGGAAAAGTATAATGGTGCCTAAAAGAAATTAAGACAACCTCTTGGTTGTTGTGTCCTCTTTGTGCCAGGTAAATGCAGCAGGAAGATGATTACTACCTTTTTTTTTTAGCTTGCCTCCATTGACAAGAAATTCTGTTACAACAAATTTTCAAAACCTCCTCTCAGGTTGACGTCAAACCTGATCTTACTGCATGACTACCTTTCTGTTCAATGATCTGTATGCATATCTAGAGATGTGCAACCAGAAGAAATCGTAATCACAAAATGCAAACTGAGGTTATGAACCCTGAAGTTCTTCTTTATAAGTTGCACTTTTACAATTAAAAATGAGTAATATGAACCATACAAACAGCTGCTTGCACCTTAGCCTTACCCTACTCCTTCCTTTCACTTTCCTGAAAACATTTTGAGGTATCAGCACTTCATATTTCACAGGGAACCCAAAGCATACTGATCACTCTGTTCAATGATGTTGTTATTTATTGCTATGGAGCAAGCCTAGCCTTCTAGGTAAAGTCAGAGCAGCGGCAGAACAGACTGCTGGTGTGGATGTGATGAGGTGGTAAGTTTGATCAGAGACCAGCAGCATGGAAGATCTACCACAGCTGCATCCCCACAATCTTGCTTTGTATGTTTTGTGAATGGACTAAAAAAGTCATAGAGCTTCTCAGATAACACATATGGCTGAATAGAGGGGCAAAGCTAATGTGGCAACTTCTTTGCAGAAGACATCCCATAATGTTACAGGATGCAGGTCCCATTCAAAAACATGTCAAAAAAAGAAGCTGCAGTGATCAGCTTTGCTGTTTGGCACACAGATGATATGTACATAATTATCTGCTTGTGTTTTTTAAATATGTCATAAGAAAATATTATTTATACAACATCCAAAAAAAAGTCCATATAGGAAGTATGCGGAGGACCCACCAAACCAGTCCAGTCCAAACATTCTTCTGCATCTTTGCTAGAGCAAGTAGATAAAAATGGCTTGTATGTGCTTTCAATGTTTACATTCCTCTGAGGTCTGTCCTGTAGTACACAGCTTCTGTCACGCCTCTTTCAAGTCGAATAAGCGGCTGATGGAGTGTTTCAGTCTGACTTGACTGAATCAGATGCCTGCATTTGTTTAGGAAATGAATGGATGATGTGAGTTTTCTGGCTTTTGATTGGCTCTCAGCAGCTCTCTCCCAGAATCCTGTGCAAGTCCTTAGGCTGAACTCGACCTTCTTCACCACGACTGATATTCTTCACCATCCTAAAATTACAAACGGCACGTCAGACCACAACAAACATTTAAGATTTGTGTTCTTTAGACAATCAATATCCATGAATGCATTATAATTTGAATTCTGTTTACCACACTCCTGACGAATCCTCATAAAGCAGCTGGATGACATCGCCGCAGTTAAAGATGATGTCATCAGAGCTGGCCATGCTGCTTTCTACCATGACCCTGTACCTGCCCGCCACCTGAACATAAGAAATTAAATATATAGATTTATTCCAACACCAAAGGGAAGCTGGGCTTTGTTGTTTTCTGTATGTAGGTGATTAAATCATATGACATTTTATCCACATAACAACATATAATTTGTTTGTTCCCAGCCCTTTAGGAAAGTTTACCAGTGGGGAGGGCTGATCCTCCTCATCTGAGTCAGATAAGGCAGAGAGGTCTGTTGCACCCCAGTCCTCCAGGCCCTCGCAGATCGCCACAGAGTGAGCAGGAGCAGGCCAACCTGAAAAGACGAAACCCAAGCTGCTGCACTTTTAAACCAGAAACACTGTACAGAAACGACGTAAACCTCAGAAATTTATAACACCAAAGATCAGAGATGGACCTGAATGAACTGTTGAGCTGGGACAGACAGAAAGAAGCACTTTTCTTTTTTTGAAGTGCTTGTAAGAAGACTTTACAATAATACAAAAGACAGACATTTCAGAGAAGATGATGAAGTTACTCTTGCTTAGCATTCGCTATTAGAGTGCCTATAAAAAATCATTTACCTTTTTTATTGGTTCAACAAATCAATCGTGATCAGCAAAATTTGGCTTTTTTGACAAAAAAGTTAAAACTGATTTCTACAAAAAGAAAATAACATAAAATAAGTGATTGCATATATATTCCCCATCTACTAAGTCAGTACTAAGTAGATGCAACTTTGTTGAATTAGGTCTGTCACTTTAAAGAAGGTGATATTCATACAAAGAC